CAGTTGGATGTGGAATCTGCTGAAGATCAGGTATGGACGATCTTCTACAAGTTATCAACGCTTAACAAGTTATCTCGGAGTTTAATCTTAACATGATTCCTTTGGTAATTCCATGCAAACGGATTTCTATTATACGATGAATATCGAGCAAACTTAATCGCGAAAGCGCATGGATGAGCAACCCCAGATGCTGGATAGGAAGCGAACGGAGGACGAGAGCGACCATGTACTTTTCCTGGTGCGCAAATAAATAGGATAAACCTCCTGTCTTAGTTGCACTGCATTGCTTTATACCTTTCACACATGCAATCATAATGATGCATTCGTGCGTGAGTGTGCTTGAGCTTATGCGAATTCTGTCCTTAGTGTCGATTGGGCTTAGTCGATTCAGTCTGTAGCCTACGATGAAGCAAGCAAGAAGTTTTACATATGAGAGACAGTTGACGGTCGTTCTCGTCAGACAAACCTCACAATCACTGTAAACAGTTCAAATTTGAGCTCTCTTTTTCCCCCACATGCGTACAAGTTGGAGTCCGACCGACAAGCTTACCACCAACCACCTGCTCTTTAACACGAACCCTAATGCTCTTCGTGTTCTTATGGGCTCATTGTGCGGCTGTAGAGTTCGTTGAATGCAATTGTAAACTTCACTGGTGACCACCTCACCGTGACTGAGAGATTCCTGGGTGCCAGGCTGCGATGAAGAGCGGGGATTCATCACCTGGCGGGGTCTTCCAAGCTGAGAATAAACCAATACCGGGATCCGTCATCGTCTTGGTACCAAACTAGTCGTATGGTGGCGAATATCGCTCCGATCCACAAAAGCGGCAACTGTCTGTGGTGGCGACTATCTGGAGCAGACTTTGGTCTGGGTGGCTTCGGGACTCCAGGGAACCACAGTGACTTAACCAGCAAAACTCCGAAAAAATGGAGATTATGCTGTGGCCGGGTTACCAAAGTATCCAAGTATAGGATAGAGAGGGATAATATTAGAAAGCTCTAATAGAATTCCAGTCAATACTTAATCTACTTAGATACCACTGAGATAAACAATATTACCCTTTCATAAAAAGCAGCCAGAATAATACCAAATGCATAACGTAATCCGTGTCCCTCGGCAAGAAGAGCTCACATGGCCACTAAGCTGTGCGACAAGCCGTGTGCAAACTTTATTGCGGCCTGTTCGAACCGCTCATTGATAATCTAGATTGGAAATGATACAAATGCAACTTCTAAGCCATGGAGCCTTAAAACCCAATGTTGTATCTTAGGCCCAAGATATCACTAGCATTATTACTAAAAGACCGATGTTAACATCAATCTCGATTTATTTTTCCTCAAAAAGATTATTTACTTACTTACTTGGACGGTCCGTCTTCACGAGTCGTGCAGACTCCAGCATATATGCCATTCGTTCCTTTCTCTCGCAATCGTGGACCATGGTGGTGGTCTTGTTCGAGCACTACATTAGCATTAGAAAAGATTAATTAGCCCTACAAGAGTAAATATTTTAGTAATCCTCTTAGGTTGCAAGCAACTCGATTTATGTGTTAATTTTTTAAGGCTAAATATTTATTATTTCTGTGCCTTATAGACGACAGGAATCCCCAGCGACGACATCCCAGTAGCTGAGCCGCGGCTGAGCAACGAAAGCGCTAATTCGACGAGTTCTTCATCTTCGTCATCAAAACGGAAATCATTCCAACCGCAGAAGAATACTGAAGAAACAGAGCAGGCAGTAGGTGACTGCGCTGAAGACGATGCAAAATACGAAGAGATTCATCACAATGAAGAAGTCGATAAGACTGATGAGAAGCCGGCAGAGGAGAACACACGACAGTTCGACGGCTTCAGTGCTCTTCAATCGCAACTCAACCAGCCAAATATGAAATTTACTGAGATATTTGAAACACAAAGAAAGTTTTACAACAATCTTCTCGAACAGCAAAAGAAATTCTTTTCGCCTCCACAGCCGATGGAGATTGTAAGTGATGTCATTCCTTTCTGTCTTGGAATGAAATATTACAACGCCATAGCAAAGGCTATCTCAATACTTCTTTTAGACTCCGGAAAAGCCATCACGAACCCGTGATTTTACTCAACTCGCTCAGACACTCAAGAACGAAATCATAGACTCACTTTCTGGATCAATAGACAAGGTGATCGATTTTTGATTATTACATTCTGTAGTATTTCTGTATGAAAATATTTGTGCAGAACAGAGTTTGGATAAATTTTTCGGATGAAAACTGCGAAACGTATACGGTTTAGTGACGCTTTCATTTAACGTTATTAATAGAGTATTGTATAGAGTACTGTAAGGTGACAAAAAATATTAAAGGTAGTACAGTATCCGATATCTACCCTTCATAGAAGTGTTGTCTATGACGAAATAACGAAATGATTAAAAGATCTAAAAATGCCCGTAGAAGTTTTGTCTTTTCTATTCTTAGGTCCTGAAGGAATGGGCAGCGAACGAGATGGCTCGTCTTCAGCAAGAATCAGCTAGGCCTGCCGCAATGCCTCCGATGTTCAATCCGTTGTTTCCGGCACCGAATCCGCTTGCTGCACATTTTGGCATGAATCCCCATAGTAAGCGAGCTACTGGAAAACAGTTCCTCAATGAAATGCTCTCAATGATGTTGATGAGCGATCATTACTTCCTATGAACCAAATCATGTGCTGTTCGTCAGATATGCTATAAAAAAAAGGGGAGGAGGGGGTGGTAGGTCTTTTCTTAAAATTATTCCAGTTTCGACAATTTCTAAAGAGTTTCATGGTTATTCAAACCATGTGAACTGAAGTAACTTAAGAATTGTAAAAACGGTATTGTTAACAAACACGGTAAAAATACACCTGGTACTTGGTTAATATTAGATTGGTAGGTATACTCGCACTGATAGTTAGTTGCTAATATATAGTCGTTCCTCTCTATCCATCTGCCTATCAAAAACACTAATTCTAGTGCCTCCGGCTGGGATCTTTCCGGCTCCACTGAATCCGTTCAATTCATTGGCTGCATTGAATCAGATGCGCAAACCGTTTGAAGAAGATGGTCCTAAGAAGAAACGCAGCAAGGTATGATCGAAATCGCTAGTGATTACTCTATTTTTATATCACCGTACTTCGAGTCTCGTATTTTTTGCATAGTGGAAAACTTGGTATTTGACGATACATGTGAACTTTGTGAAGGATAAGGCATCACAGGGTAGGGCTCATATGGGTTATACTCGGAACATACTAACTATCCGCGATACCTGAAAGGGTTTAAGGGAGAAATTGTGGGCAAAAGAAATCAACCTAACCAGTTCATTTTATCTTGTTCAGGTCACCGACAGCGTGCGAAAGTTGAACGGTACACCGATAGCACGTGAAGGTTCTCCAAGTAGCACAAGGAGCAGTCCTGTTGTAAGTTTAAAGGCGTAATCGATCAAGAATATTCTGGATTTTTGAGAATTGTGCATAGTAAGTGCAGGAATACTTATATATCCAGTGAATAGGTGATAGGTCCCACCAAGCTCTTCTCGAAATCATTCCGTTGTTGTGCAGCTGTCATTCATAAGGGTTATCAGACTCGTTTATGTGTTCTACTACAGCTTGAGGGTTTGTTGTCCTTTGTTTTCACTAGAATGTTGTGAGCTGGTAGAATGCAGTTCTCTTAGAATCCAAGATAACCGTGCTGGAACGTTTCCATATCTTCATCACTGGCGGCTGCCAATCCTCTTCTTATCAGTGGAATATTTGATTTTTCGAGACTAGTATTATTCTAGGATGGTTTCCCACATCGGCCAATTGATAGGTCAACGAATAGGAGAACAAAGATGAAATAACTCATCATCTATTAAAATACCGTTGACCGTAACTGGTAAAAATCTCAGATTCAATGTGAATAAGGTAGATGAAGAGGATTAAGCTCTCAGAGTTGATCAATCCATTAGAGATGCGCCATGCTTTCGACTTCATCAAGCATCGTTTGGAGGTGATTGAATGCATATCTGACCTTTACAATGACTCATGGTGACCTACCGATCTATTGAGCCAGTGTTGCTATCCTCCCAGGCAAGTCTGCTACCAACTTGCTGACCCCAGAAGAATGGAAGGCTTGATGGGCCATGGGCGCGGGAATCGATTCCACGTGCGTATTGCCGGGCACCCCTGACCACTGAGCCACATGCGCCCTAAATAGGATCCTTAAATCGCTGAGAATAAAGTGAATAAAAGCAAGAAGTGGTTGCCTATAAGACTTTAAATGGCAAAAAATCGAGTTGGGCTTTGTTGGTTAGAAAATGCTCTTAAATTATCGTAAAAGAAACTTTCAAATATGAAGGAAGACGAATAGAAAACATTAGAAGAAAGAAAATAGTCACAAACTAGTAAAATAGCCGGCACACTTGTAAATAAGTATAGCACAATATGACCGATTTGTACGTTCTTAGATATCTTTATCGATTTTTGTAGACCCATCAAATATTTTTTCTACTTAGCATCGCAACGATTTGTAGTTTTTGTTTTCAGTTATCACACTCGACACCGCTTTCGAACTATTTCCCGCCGACAATGGTGGGACATCCGCTGTACGGTGGTGCAACATTTGGCGAAAGAGAAGGCAGTCCAACGAATTCTGACGAAGCGAGCGAATGTGGCGCTTACGACAGTGGTCAGAGGTTTGTTAGATGGTGACTCAGATTTTCTCAAAGTTCCTTTCTTTGGAGAAGTTCAGATTTTTGCTGAAAACTTTCAAAAAATTCATTAGAAGATAGCCAGGTAGAAGTTTTGCCATTTTATAAAAGTTGACGAAATTTGCAATCGCAGACGGTCGAGATGGTTATCGTTTTCGGAGAATTGTTTTGATCGTTTTGCTTGAACTGGTTAAGTTGGTTGATAGCCCAGAGATTTGCTGTACTGCAAGGATTCTTAGCTAAAGAAGCGACGAGAACTGTTGTTTCAATCTTGCCTTCAGCTCCACACTAACACCAGTGCATCTGCGAAAAGCCAAGCTGATGTTCTTCTACACGCGCTATCCAAATTCAACATTACTGAAATCATACTTTCCGGATGTTCGATTTAACAAGAATAACACAGCGCAGTTGGTGAAGTGGTTTAGCAATTTCAGGTGAGAATTCAGAAAATGTTTTATCTTCCTTTCGTGGTTATAAAATGCTGATTGAGCATTAGTTATAGTGTTAACGTAGCAATGCTTGAATAGTCGATCTTCTTCACAAAAGAGTCCTGTTACGAGCCACAGGTTTTCCGTTTAAACGTTGAGTAATTGGTTTCCTAAGGTTACTTTTTCTGAATTCTCAAGGGAATCCACGTCAAGAACTTTTCACGTGACTACCATAAGCGTCGCCTGCTCTCCTGGATCGCAATTAGTTCCTCCCTCCACGTAGATGAACTTCACGATATAAATTGCGGTTCCGCATCCAGTAACACCTCAACGGAACTTTTACAACTCGGAGCATTAAACTAATTTCCATACAGAAAACTTTTAAAATCTGAAGTAATTTTAATACTTTGGCTTAGTAACTAAGCGTTTTGGGCGCGTATGACCTAGTGGTCGGAAGCCCCCTGCAACACACACGTGGAGTCGATCCCCGCGCCCATGACCCACCAAGCCTTCCGTCCCTTCGTGATCGCCAAATTGGTACCAGACTTGTCTGGGAGAATAGTAGCACTAGCTCGACACATCAGTTGGCCGCCGTGAATCATTGTAAAGGCCAGATATGCATTCAATCACCTCCAAACGGTGCTTAGTGATATCGGATGCATGGTGCAATCCCTCAGGGATTGATCAAGCCGAGAGGTTGTTCCTTTATCCTTCTTAACTAAGCATTTTACGAAATGATATGACAGTTCTTTGAAGGTATCGAAGTTTTTCAAGAAAAGTTTTTTCACCAATCACAATGGAAAAGCTGAACTTAGTTGTTAGCTATGCTTTGCTGGAAGTATTTTGCTGTTCCAAGGCTTTTCCTGCGAACCACATCTTCTTGCCTCAGTCATTGAGTGTTTCTAAATTAAGAATTTAATGGAATCGTCAAGCGCATATGAGCTATTTTAAAAATCAACCACTATGATGCTGAGATATTTGTAAAACTGCGGACCATAAATCTCTACGGTGGAGGTCGATCCCGCTATTACCCCTTTCGGGAGTTAATGTGTTCACCACCACATCACTCAAGCTCTTCGTTTCACCTTTGTCTCAGCTAGTTTTCTACCTAACGCTGCCACTAACAACCAGAACTGTTTTGTTGGTCATCATACTCATACCGAGGAAACCCTTCATCTATTTGGTTAGCTAGGAATTTTTCCATTAAGAAAGCCCTAGCCTCCAGTTGTTCGTTACCTAAGTTCCGCTTTACATTTTGAACGAATCAATTCGTAGTAACCAAAGAATTCAATGTAACTCTAGCTGAAACAGGAATACGACAGCGGTGAAGGCGAGAATCTGCGATTCTGATTATTGCTGTAAATTTTATGCCTTTTTGGATGGACTCCACGGAAAACCCCTGTAATAAATAAAATGATGCAGTGAACTAATATTTAAAAAGCAAAGATCACTGTGAATCCATCAAGTAACTTAAGCGTCCACCAATAAACCCTATTTTTCACCACGACTCGCAGCAAAAGTGTGTGTTGCAGTAGTTCGAGGAACACCCGAAGAGCGCTACACTTTTGGCATAAGGCCATTTATTTTTTGTTTTGAAGACAACACAGCTTGTTTTAGCTTTATAGACTCCATTAACATGAACCTATTCCTGATCATGCTTTTGGAATAAATGATGAAGTCATCAATTTTCGTGACTTTGTAAAGAAATAAAACTACAGCTATAGAGCGCAGTTCATCGCCAAGGAATATCCTATTCGTACTCAGCCACAGTGGAGCGCTAAACTACTAGGAATCCCTCATTCGTAACAAATGATTGCTGCGAACATGAAATTAGAAATGTTTTACTCTGTTCTAAAATTCCTTATTTTTTTCTAAAAAACACTTGAATCGTACCTCAAAAAAAATGACGTAGTTTTTATATTTGATATTCTGATGATATCCACTGAGTCCTTTTAAACCTAATGCTCCTCGGGAACGGAGCTTATCAGGTCTCACCCATCTCTGCGAACCTCCTTCTTTCTGCAGTGCCTTACGAAATCGAACTGTGTTCAACGATGACGGATTCATATTATATCTATGGATCGCGATTGTTTATAAGCTTTCCACAAAACCAATATTTATTTAATGCTTGGTGTTCGATCATTGTCGTTCATGTCACCAAATTAGCATAGTTGTACGGCATCGGTTCACGCCTTATTGATGAGGTAATGTATGTGTTCATCGTCGACATCCCGCTGTGTATCTGTGATTCAGAACACGATAAGGCCGAGAATGTCTGAGATTTATGAAGATGTCAGCTGAACTGACAGATTCGTTTGCTAGCGATGAATGTGTAAGATCGTGAAGAAAATGGATGAGAGAAAGAAGAATGTATGAACTGGGAAAGAGTTCTTTTTCGTTTCAATCACTTTAATATCGAAAGCCATTTTCATTATCACTTAGCCATTGATCGAATGACTCAAGCAGAGAGTAAGACATTTCTGATGGACGCCAAAAACGTCATATTTATGATAGCATTGATAAGTGAAAAAATAGCCGAGAGGAAGGCAAAACAAGGGTTTCGGTTGGTGTCGTGGATAACACATGACACCTGAAAAGGGTAACCGCGAATTCGAAGCCCATCTGACGTTTCGAGTTTTTCTCATTTCACATCATCCTTGCTGTAGTATGTAGTATTATACATAATGCCTTGCCTTGAAAAAAGAATAGGCAGTAAATAAAGGCTGAAATAGTGTATTTTACTGAGAATTTCGCCTTTGTGTCGAGAGTATGACCCACGTTTATTTGTTTCTTCCTCTAATGATCTCCGTCCAGGATGGCGGGCTGTTTCGAGTATTGTCTCTGCCTCTGCAAGACCTCTGCAAGTTTCATTTCACGACTCATAGAGCGTTTCAAACAGCGGATACAGCTGATTGTCTGTAAGTAATATCTACAACAGGTGGATTACATCCTCTTCAGGTCTAATTCATTGTTTTCCTCGCTCAGTTGTCGTAAACTCTTCTCACCATCTTATTTGGTTTTCTTATGCTTCGCTGTCGATGTGTCTCTGAATTCCAACGACGACATTTTTTTCTCGAAGCCCTGAAATGCGTAATCTGGCTCTCGGTGTATTTTTGACCATATTACAAAAGAAGTCATTCAAAATGGTCAATCAGTCAAAATAGTCGGAATATTCAAAATTCAAGTCAAGAGATTTTCCCACGTTTTCGTAATCGCCGAAAATCAGTAGCTTAATGTGATATGTGTGTTTGGAGCTACAGGTTTAACCTTAATCACCTGTTGTTCCAATGAAAATAATTAATTTTCCTTTGGAATTAATCAACAGGTTTTCGGACTACTTGACCTAGTAGAGAGGCGACATTCGCGTATCATGGATCTTAAAGTATACTCACCGACCCAGAGGACTGGTCGTCATTTTAATGGGCACAGACTGTTAAATAACGTACTGAGCAATCAGTATAGTGATTAGTTAGTATCCTTTACTCTTAACTTCTTTCAGTACTTTTATATGGATTTGTTGAGCAATGGGCGATGAATATGAGAGTGCTCAGTCATTCCTACTTAGGAGTGTTAACCTAGTAATGTACTTTCACCAACATTTGACGCATAGTGAGCTGATCGAATTCCTTCGCCGGTGGATTTCCGACGTGTATCTTCAATACACCTCCATGCGGGTCTTAGAGGGAATTTGTCACGCGCTACAGTGATCCTATTGGAAGGTGCTCTTGTTCGCTCGCGTATGCACGCGAAGAGAAACTCGACTACTAAAGTGAAATCCTTCAGTTCGGCCTTCAAAGTTCGTAAAAGGTTCTTCAAGGGATTCAACGTTGCTTTTTTTCTGAAACACATTTAATCTTGTCAACCATCGATCGCTTCAATAACGAGTACCAGTAAAACCTCCAATTCGTTGGCTATGTCCGCCAGACCTGTTTGATGGCTTTCACCCTGTCAAGTGATTCGCAGTGCAACGTACTTCTCATGTGAAGACCGTTTTTTAGAAAAGTACCTACGCGTTGTTTACAAAACTGTAGGTGTTTAAATGAAGCTGTTTCTCATGCGAATACAAATTTATTTGTTATTTCTTATCTGCTAGGGTTATGAAAGTGTTTGCCTGAGTAGATCGCATCTCAATTTGACCTTTCCAGACTCCAAAGAAGGAGAAACCGTTGAAACGTCAGCTATTGTGTCCTAATAAATTCTATAATACCAACCTCATGTCTGCTTATTGAAGAAAAACAGCGAATTATCAATCAATGCCGAGCTTAATAGAATGTCGGTCTTGGGAATTGCTACCTACAGGTTGTTCGTTAGGCTCCATTGTGGGAAAATGGTTTCATTCTTAGGTGATTTATTAGATTCTGAAAATGTAGTCGAGGTGCTCAAATGTTGGTGCTTCTAGAACCACTCGCTATTCGTTTCGCAATTTATGGCCGAGTCTACGTGCATTGTGAAATTCGCATATACTCAAACATGCTCCATCTGCACGAACGCATGAATATGGTTGCGGAAGTTATGAGTTAATCCGACAGCACAGAATCAGTCTCTCTTAACCCTGCGTTTACGCTCTCCGTATAAACTGGGATGTCGTACCGATCACCCAGATCACTGTAATCTTCAGAAAAGTGGTAACATTTGTCTACAGAGTTTGGTGCTCCTGCCTCATGTGACCTACAGGCTTCACCACTCCTTTACTTTGTTTCGCAGTTCTGTAACCGTCGTCTGTGTTAGTTTTCTGGGTTTCTGTGTGAAATCGCCTTCAGGATTTTATCAGTGACATTTTGGATGCTCATCGAATCCGGGGTCACCCAGGTTAGGACTTCACAGACTTCGCGACAAAACAATACCAGGTGGCGAAAATTTCTGAAAATTGTTCTTAGAAAAACATATTTCATTCGTTTTCAAGGATAGCAGCAGTAATATTGATGTTACACTAATTATTCCCTACTGAAATGTTTCAGCTCATCAAAAACAGTTCGTATGAACAGGACTAATTCTGCAGTTGTTTTAAGATCAGAAAAAGACTTGACAATTTGTTTTCGCATCAAGTTTCACTACTGTTCCGATTTCGAATTCTACTTCGGGTTCCTTCGAGATTTGTAGGATAATCGGGCAGCTTAAGCGAGCGCGACGAAGCGGTGTCGTCGTCGACGAGGTACGGTAGGTTGTCTGATAAGCGGATCAACTAGCGGTGTCTGAGTATTGTCTAAACGGGGAGCGCGCACGAAAACCGGCTTTACGAGTGATCGTTTCGGGAACTTCCAAAGAGTACCAGGTAGAAAGTATGTTTGTGGTAGACAACGGTGAGGGATCGAGTGTGAATTTCTAAAGTGGGCGATAAACCAAAGATTAATTGAGGAATCTATGCACTATAATCGAGGAATTCGCGAAGAAGACTTGCTTGGTCGACTTAAGCTTAATCAAGAAACTTTCATGTGATTACATCGATGTGCATAACAACGTTTTGTAAAGACGTTTTGCCATACATACATGGTCATTGATTCGATCTTGCGCTATCGACAAACTAAACCTCCTACCCTTTCCTCGTTGATCAGCACTGATTGGTACTAGACTGTAAGTCATTGTACAGGCGAAATTTGCATTCATCCATCTCAACGATGGTAGTAATATAGCCGAATGATGACATTTCTCTGAGTAAATTAGTCAACAGCGAACGCTTTGTCTGGGTTTCTTCGTTGAAATAACTGCTAATCAACCACTAGCAAAGTCGTCTTTCTAATAAATCATGCCAGTAACTAGTTGATTACTTCTAATGAAGTCGTAAGTAATCCTCATGCATGATAGTATTAATGTAATTTTACGACCACATAGATGCTTAGATGTGAGCATAACTCGGAGCTTCATGTGGGTTTCCACACGCGATTATCCATAACGTGCTATGCACAACACCAATCAGTGCTATGCCGCTAACATTATCGTTGAATAAAACTTAAAATACTGTGACTTCAACAGCGACCTAACTGGAACCAGTGTCGATTTGTGTTCTTCAGATCATTCCCGTTGACTTTCAATCACTGATAACACCAGTAAAGTAGAAAACTGCCCGAGAGAAAACTTGCCGAAGCAAAAGTCTCGGGTAGTGTGGTGGATAGCACGTGAATTTTCGGCAATGGTAATCCTCAATTCAAAGTCCAACTGAAATTCTAGTTTTACTCACCTCTCAGCATCCTTGTGGTTGTATTTCATAATACCCTACAAGAATAGGCTGTAAACAGAAGTTATGGAATTGTGTTGACATCAATTTCTTTGTTCAAGTTTTGTCGCCAAACATTCCAGGATTGGATCCAAACAGATTGCATTTTAACAGTTGGTTGGCTTCTAATATCCGAAAAGACGATCCAGTTTCTGTTTGGCACGGTTAACCAAAGGCGCTGTGTAGCCACCACTAGTCAAACAGTTCGTACTTGATAATTATTTCGTATGTAGAAAACTATATTTAGTAAAGTCACATATATACGTATTCACTAGAGCTGGTATTAAAGACCTATGGGGAAAGTTTGAACTAGATTTTTCACCTTTTTCGAATTTTTATCACTCATTCGTTTGCTGTAAATGTACGCTACAGAAATGAGTTGCTCTATCATACCTGGCATCATACCTTGCCGTGAAAAATTATAGTGGACGGAAAATAAAAGGTTAACATTGTGATTTCGGCTACAACCTCAGCTTAACTGGGTTCAATGCTGATTTCTCAGATCAATCCTGCTGCTGACGAGTTATTGCTGATGGAGCGTTAGGTAGAAAAATAGCTAACAGAAAAGCAGAGCAAGGGCCTTCGTGATGCAGGGTGTAAGGCGTGAACTCCCGGGAAGGGAAGTCATGGTTCAATCTGGCTCAGGGTCCAAGTTTTGCGAATATTTCATCATAGTTGTAATTGAGTTGCTTTACTTGCGAAATATCCATTTTTTGAGAATGTTTTTCTATAGACATATGTTTTCAGGGAATTCTACTACATCCAAATGGATAAATTTGCTCGTCAAGCCTTGGCAGAAGGCATAACATCACGTGAAGATATTGTCGTCACAATGGATTCAGAAATATTTCGTACACTCAATCAACATTATAACAGGAATAATCATGTCCAGGTACAGTAGCTTTTCTCTTCCTTTGAGAGCACGTAACGTAGGTGCCGTATCGCTCATGTGTTCTCTAAACTGTATATGTCGTTATTTGTTATTTTAGCCGCCTGAGAGTTTGGTAAATGTCGTACAAGAATCGTTACGAGAGTTCTTTGACGCTATTCGACTTGGTAAGGATGCAGAACCATCGTGGAAGAAACAAATTTACAAGGTTCGTTTAATGAACGATGTGGTGGTGCGACAACTAGTTCTTGTGAATTTCATACATGCTGGTGGAGCGCGGTGATTGAAGGTGCATTTGAAGTAAATATGTGGTCGTTTGCTCGATTTCTCGTCCTGATCAAACCATGCTTTCCTTCCTTTTGTCATCGGTAACCTGGTAACGCATTTGTCTAAGAGCAACGATGACTAACCCGACATATCGTCGACCCATGGGAAGTTATCGTTTGTTAACCTCTACGGTTCATCAAACCGGCTCTACGATGCTCATTGGAGTCGAGCGCATGATAAATCCCTAGCGGATTGATAAACGTGGGTTACTCTGTCTTTTGTGATGACTGGAAAAAAGCGTAGCTCTGATATACGAAAGATAATGTTTACGACGTTGATTCCTCTCATTGAAATGCGTCCCCACATTCATGTTGCAGTATTAAAATTGCCTTCAAATTGGACTTAGATTCGATCCACGAGGAATTTTTTGTAGAAACGACTAAAAAACATAAAAAACATTTTCGCCTTTTTAAAAGGCGCAATTCTAAAGTTTAGAGATAAACGAATCCGAAACTGCTCGACACTAGTAATGCCATTTGCAAAATCAAAACGGTAAGACAGGATCAAAAAGTGGAAGGTGTTGGCGATTTTTGATAATGGAGCTAAAACAGGCCCAGATAAAGGTCAGAGCTAGCGACGACCACAAGGAGCGTTTTCGGTGTCACCTGTGACCATGTTTACCATTAAGTAACTCGAGTGACCATCAGTAAACTCTTTTCGTCCCTGTCGTGTACTACTAGGGTTACTCATTGTGCCCAACTTTCCGATGGAAAGGAAGAGCATCTAATGCTTCGTACTTCGCCGTTTTTACTGTTCTTGGCAAGAATATAGCCAAGAGAAGCTCATCGGATCGTGGCATTTCATAGGTTCATCGGCTGTTAAATGGAAAAGTCGAAATTTAGATGGAAGCACGGTCTCATGACTAATTTGATTTCTATGCTATGAAGAATTCGATGAAATGAGAATGGGACCGTATAACTTCTAACCAACTGTCGTCGGTTCTCATCAACTACGGGTAGGAAGGCTTCTACGAAAAGTAATTATTTGTCAAATAAATGACGAAAGGTTGAGGAACCCGCAATGCATTCGATTACATTATGTACCGCCCTTAGATGTGATTGAATGCATATCTCACCTCTACAGTGACTTCTAATATCCCACCGAATCAGTTCTCAGTGCTGCTATCCTTCCAGACAAGTGATACCAATTTTCTGGATGCAAAGTGGTGGAAGCCTTGGTGAGTTAGAGGCACGGCAACGAACCAACGATCGATCAAGCGTGCAATGCAGGGCACCTCTAACCACTGCGCTACACCCGCCGCATTTATCGAATAGATCGGATCAATAATAAATATAGCGTTGACGTTTCAGATTATTAATCGGCTAGACGATCAAATACCTGAGTACTTCAAAGATCCAAATTTTTTGGAGCGACTCGAATAGTTGCGTACCGACGGATGTGAACTGATTGAAGTTTTGTTTGTCGTCTGAGTTAAAAGAATCGTCCTAGATATATTTCACACATGTTCGGTTTCTGTGATGATTCACCATTTCTCTTCTTTTGTTTTTCCTTTCATTCATTCAATCATCCGTTCATTCACTCATTCATTCGTTCCTCCGTTCCTCCACTCATTCTTCTTTCGTTATTGTTTCCTTGTCTCTTCCCTTACTTTATCCGCATACACCCTAATATTATCGAAGTCTATGTCAGTTTTTCCGTGCAATCACTATGCAAATCGGCAAGATATTTTCATATATTCATCCTCATCATCATCTTCGGTTAGTAAGTGAATGATAATTCGTCGTCAAAGTTTGTACTGAGATGTGTTTTCATGTTTTCCTTTGCTATATATATTTTTCTTCAATCATCCTAATGTGCCTAATATTGATCTTTTCTCATAAGAAGAACGTTTTTGATCGTTGTGTCTTTTTCACAGCATATGTCTTAACGCTATTACTTCGTTATGCATTCCTCTGTACAGTGTGAAAATTTAAAACCTTCCTTCTCCTAAGTCCTTTTTAGCTTTTCTTTCCCTCTTTTTCTTTTCTTCCTTTCCTTCCTTTTATTTCGCCCCATGCTCAAACTATGATGACTTTAGGATCAGAGCGTCTTTGGCATTCGTTTGGTAATGAGTGGGCAAAAACAGAGAACAGCAGATAAGTAGATATTAAACGTGATAGACAACTTTCATTACGTTTTCAATTCTCCTCTTTCATCCTTCGTAGATTTATAAATATTCCAGTGTAATCGTGCGAGTTTCATTTACTGTTCATCAATAAATTTGGGTAAAATTCGACTATTTATGTTAATTTTCTCATGAAAACATTAAATTTTTCACTTAACTTGGTCTATTTCTACCATGATAAAGAAAGCTCTTGGCGTTGATCAATCCCTGAGGGATGCGCCATGCATTCGACTTCATTAAGTATCGTTGGACGTGATTGAATGCATATCTGGCCTTTACAAGGACTCACAGTGGCCTACTGATGTATCGAGCCAGTGCTGCTATCCTCTCAGACAGGTCTGGTACCAATTTGCCGACCCCGGAGGGATCGAAGGCTTGGTGGACGAGAGGCGCGAGGATTGATCCCGTATGTGTGTTGCAGGGCGCCTGCGATCACTGCGTCACACGCGCCACACTTTTTTGATCATGACGGCATTTCCAACGTATAGAGTGGAATAGTCTTAGTTAGTTTTCAAGACATTTCATCGCACCGATGGAGGCAGTCGCCCGCCACCCCGTTCGTGGTCGCGATGCTGTACAGGTCACGTCCGCCTCTGGCTCCGTCATTGGTTTTTTGGCAAGGTCGTCACTTTTTAGTGAAATTCTGCCTTTTCCTTTGAAATATCTGATCTCTGCACATATTCGTCTTCGTTTCAGGATATGAGTCCTATTCGTGAGTAATCTATGAAACCACCATCACTATTTAACACTTTACTTTGAACTTTGAATGGAAATTAGTTGTGATCATAAAGTTTGTAAGGAATATGTTGAGTAACTTCTTCTTCATACACCTTCTCTTCACAAAGGAAGTGCCAGAGAATTCCGTCCAATTCCTGGTTTGACGATATCTAGTGACTTCGGTTCACCTTCGTCCATCTTGTAGCGTACGACCGATGCCTGAAGAGTGTCTACTGGAACGTTCGCTCATCCGTTATGTTTGAATATCGGACAAAATCGCTTTTTTAGCAAATTTGTTCAAATAATATATTGGAAACAGCTACTGAACGATTTTAGAAGGTTTAGGAACCAGGACAGAAACTAGGATTTCATTCCTTTTTAGGAAAGGAGTCAGGATTAGGATTTTATGCATGGCCTTTCTTTGCACATATTCTTTAATTGCTGATAGCTAAATGGACAGTCATCATAGTGATGAGATATTAGCTGGATTCCTCTTTTCCCCAAAGGTCGTACATGGCAAAAAAAATTTTTTTCGTGTTTTTATTCGGAACAACGATCTCAGCAATCGGATAAGTAAACGAGTATGTCCTGTGTCAAAGATGCTTATTGATCGAGTGACTAAGATATTCATTTCATCGGCTTAAACCTTTTGCAAACTCTTACATAAATTGCTAAACGAATACATTATCTCTAGAGCATTTCCCGAAGGAAAGGAATTTTCTTTGTTTTTGAAAGATGAATTTGCTATCCATGATATGCCTTTTAAAGTAATAAAAACGTTAAGAATAACCCGACTATTAATGGTCGAAGTAAAAACTAAGAAATACATTTAGTCCTTGGAATGTGATCGCTGCTGCATAATTTCTAAAATTATCCAGATAAGCGACAGCAGAGACGATCGTTAGAACCTCCTTCGGGTAGTTGAGAAATCCTTCATCGACCTAAGAGCAACAACTGAAGAGCGAATCACGAAGAGACAATCGACGTCTTCGATCACCTGTCGATCTACTTCACTTACCAGTTGTCGGCCTCGTACTAGAAGAATGAGTCCGTTTGCTTTGCAAAAAGCCGAGCATTGTGATTCAGTGAATGTCGGTATGCCGTCGTTAACGGTCACCGGACTTGACTCTAATTTCATCACTGCCCATGCAGCTTCCTGAAAATTCCTCGTAAGCGATATCGCCCTTCGAGAACAGCTGCGTTCTTCGAGTTTATGTCATTCATAGTAGCTTAATGGTTGCGATCTTGGTTTTTGTTTTCTAAAGCCTTAATCTTTGCCTTCTTTGTTCTTCGAGAACAGCTTTTTTGACCCTCCTACACGCCACTTTACATGTCACTTCATGCATGTTCAACTAAGCCCATGCTTTTTTGTATCCTCCCACGTCTTCGTGTTAAGTCTAAATCCACCTTCATCCAACTTCATTCAAACATCCGTTCTTCTCGGTTTTTACCTCCATTCACTTTATGTCAGTTAGCAATCGTAACCATTGCCAATAGATCAGTTTATTGAGCTAAAATCTACCAAAACAACATCGTGAAATGGTGTTAGCGTGATGAATCGAGAAGCTCAAAAATACAAGTACGACCTAAGCCTTTAGGATATCCTGCTGAAATAACAAATATTCATTCAGAATTACATTGTTAACTTTTTACTTATTGCCTGTTACAGTTTTTCACGGCAAGGTATTATGTGTAATATAATCACAATGCTGCTGAGATCTTTGCAAAACTACGCGCTGCAGGTGTCTGCGGTGAACAACGAACGCGCTACCACCTTTTCTGGGGACTAACGCGTTCACCACCACACCATGCCTGCCCTTTGTTTCTCACAGCTAGTACAATAGCATGTATTACGTTATAAGTTTTGCTACTGTTACTCATACGAATCAAAGAACGAAGACTTTGTACTTGTTAAACACTGATTCTTATTAATGATATGTGAACACCGTTCTCAACATGCAACTGCTCTCTTCCGATTTTTTCACAGAATGGTTATTCGTCTGCTAAATCTAATTACTTCTTCTTGTGTCTAAATATTATTCTACATAGAAGGTTCACATGATAGGAACTATCACGTGCTGTCGTGTGTCAATTGAGATTCATTAAAAAGTTTCATTCTTCTCCATGATTGTGTTTAGAAGAAAATTGACAAAGGGGAACCAAGGGACCTATCAATTACCACTCTCTACCAATACTAAGTATCCTTGTAGGTAATCCTGTAGATCGTAAGCTCAGGGTGAGCCCCTGTCTAGGTCACATGGCGGCAAGTGATGATGACATCAGGTCACCATAGCCCTGATATCTCAACTGACACTGACGCTGTTTTGGCTGAAGCCCAAAATTAATGCGATATGTATAATCAAGTAAGGTCAATTATCTATATTTTCTGTAAAGTTATTTTCCAGTCATTGATTGTCTCTTACCATGCACATGGATCTATCCAACTGGCTCATCGAGGATCTGGTACAGTTTCTTAATACAGCTAGACCTTGTTCACGAATTATTGGACCAGGTCCACCGGGAAGGCACAAGATTTTCGGACCGATCATTGCTCCAATCGGCATCTGTGCCACAGTTCTCTGAAAAATAAACCTTACTCTCATATGTCCTGAACAACTGTGAAAGCCCTTGTAGGTTCTGAAGAAGGCGAAATTCGTAGAAACGTTAGCTACTGTTAACAAGTAGTGCAATAGAAATCCCATCTGCGCTCATGAAGAAAACAGCAAAATCTGTTTTTAGGCACACATAAGAAAAGTGCACTATCGATCGCTTCGGCGTAGTTTTCGTCGCACGTGAACATCAACTTACTCCCATAGTAATAATCATACTTCAACAACCTATCACAGTCTCATAGTACCGCTAATGATCTGAATGCCATATCACTGATTTTTTGATTAATGTTCTCTTTTCCATCTAAACCCGAATGATTTATGTAGTGCGATTTTTTTTCGAGTACTTCGTATCCACTGAGAAGTCACCGTTATGATTAAGTTATTCGTACATACGGCTCGCCATTGTTCGTAAGACAGGCGATGACGGTACGCCACGCCTGCAGCCGCCAGGACGATCAATACGTAGATATGTATTCTTTCTTGATAAGCTTACACGAGGCTGATAAATATATTTATTTTCGGCTAACGTTTCGACGTCTTCGTCT